GTGTATAAGAGACAGCTGCACGGCGACGAGAACAGCGAGGTGTGGCGCAGCTTGGCGGCCCGCTGCCTGGCCGAGGAGGCCCTGCGCACTGACATCCTCTGCAACGTGCCCACCTACAAGGGCAAGGTGAGCCCAGGACCCCCCCGCCTACCCGCCCATCCCCTCAGCAATCCCCTCAGGGACACCCCTCCCCAGACTCTCAGCAATCCCCCCAGGCGCTCGGGGACACCCCCTCTGGCCGCTAGGCCCAGCCGCTATTGGAAACCAACGGGGAGAGGAGCCTGAAAAACACGACAGGATTCATCTCCCCCTTCCCTCCCTCTTCTCTCCCCTCAGGTCCGTGCCTTCCACCACGCCTTCAGCACCAACGACTGCTCGCGGAACGTCTACATCAAGAAGAACGGCTTCACGCTGCACCGCAACCCCATCGCCCAGAGCACGGACGGGGCGCGGACCAAGATCGGCTTCAGCGAGGGCCGGCACGCCTGGGAGGTGTGGTGGGAGGGCCCGCTGGGCACCGTGGCTGTCATCGGCATCGCCACGAAGCGGGCAGCCATGCAGTGCCAGGGTTATGTGGCCCTGCTGGGCAGTGACGACCAGAGTTGGGGCTGGAACCTGGTGGACAATAACTTGCTGCATAATGGAGAGGTGAACGGCAGTTTCCCCCAGTGCAATAATGCACCCAAATACCAGGTGAGCGGGGCTTGGCACGGGCTGGAAGCTCCACCATGTCTGAAGTGCCTGGCTGTGAAGATCTGTCCGCAGAATTGGTCCTAAATGCCAACTTAAGGGTCTCTGCCTTTGTTGCAGAAGGCAAATGATTCCACCTCGTGAGGCCTTTCCCCTTCATTTACTGCTTCCTTCGGCTACACCTCTGTGTGGTGTTCAGTGCTCCTGACCCTCAGTTGGTTTTGCTCTTTTATCTCAAATACGAGTGTGAAGCACGTACCATGGGTGCCTGTTTAGACACCATGTTGCTTTTTGAAATAAAAGCTAGAAAGACTGTTGTAGCCTTCTGAAGCAATGACTTGCCCCACAGCAAAGTGAATGTCTGTGGTATTTTACCCCTTTGTTGTATAGCAGTGCGAGCAGAGATTAGTGCTTAGGTAAGAGTCTTCCTGCAAAAACCTGCAGCAGTGCTGAGTGCTGCTTGTTTGCTGCTGGCAGCACTCCCATAGGTGACATCTCTGGGCTGGATGCGATGTCCAGATAATTCCAGGTTATTAAAGAGCAAGTGCCATTCCGCTGTTCTGTACCTGTAGAAATATTTATCTTTGTTCTTCTGGATGCTTGCACAGCTGTATTTTGCCTGCTGGGTTTCCTCGTGTTACAACTTAAGCTGTATGTGTTATCATTTCCATCTCACAACGCTGGGGTTTTGCACGAGTATTGGCTTATGTTTCAGTTAGGGGTGAAAATCTGTGTAGTAATTTGTATCTGGTATTCTGACATTTCATGTAAAACTTCACCGGTAAGCACTTGGCAGTAATACCTAAAATAAGTGTAATTATAGAGATTTATGACTCTTTCCTTTTGCACGTTCTCTAGCATGCGAATTGGGTCTGCCTTCTGCTGTACTTGCCTAGGCCTTTCTGCAGGGGCAGGCTGAGGGAAGGTTTTGAAGCTGAGAGTTCCCAGCTCACCTGGGGACTCAAGGGTGAACGCAATCGCTGCTTTTTCAGTAAAAGTTGATGAGAGCTCGGATTGGTGAATCTTGAGAGTATTTTGTGTTTATTAAGACCTGTATAGTGATCTGCTCGTAGAAAACATACTTAAAGGAAACACACGTTTTTTGGTGTTGGCTAGAAGAAAAATGTGTTGGCTGGAAGAAATTCCTAGCATTGGGGCTGGCTGATGAAGAATCAGAAGTTTGTGTGACATCCTGCTGTGCTTGCTGCTGGCGTCTGGGACTTCTATTTATGTCTAAAATGATGTGTACTAGATAAAAGCAGGGAGCAGTGTGTGCCCAGATCCTAGTCTCTTCCTGTGTTCAGTGTTGGCTTCACTCAAATGTGTACGTGTGTGTGTGTGTATATATTAGGTTTTTCATCCTTACTTTGCCTAAGCTTTGCACTGGAATTTCCTTCTGTCTTGGTGAGGGAATACCTCTGTCAGTGACAGCACCTGCCTAGTAGTGTATTCTGGTATGTTTTGTACATGGCGCTTACCTGTCTGAAACAAGTTAATTGTCTTTAAAGTTGCCCCTTGCAGAGCAATTATAGCTCAGTGATAGCAACAGCTCAAGTTCAGGTAACTTGGAGGACATTACAAAGTTTCCAGAACTCTGCAATATTCTGAAGCATGTGGCATGTAGTATGATCACTCGGTGTTCTTGCAAGGTTCATATGAGCAGGGTTATATTTATTATCATGTAGGTGGGTGGATACAGGCTGCCCACTGGAATTGGGCAGCAGAGGTGCTCAGGATCCTAGTGCAGGGGAGCAAAATTGAGAAATTTCTGTCATAGAAGTAACGCAATTATGAGAAACAGGAAAACCTTGCTTTAAAATAACCTGCGGCGTTATACTTGGGCTGTGCTTTATTTTTGTGTTGCCATTTGAATATGCTGACTCTTTCTTTGTTTTATTTCCCGCTCCTGTCTCTGTTTCCAGATAGGTGAAAGGATTCGAGTTATCCTGGACATGGAAGACAAAACATTAGCATTTGAGAGGGGCTATGAGTTCTTGGGAGTTGCCTTCAGAGGACTGCCAAAAGTTTGCCTGTATCCAGCAGTGTCTGCTGTCTATGGTAACACAGAAGTGACTTTGGTCTACCTGGGAAAACCTCTGGATGGATGATGTGGATTTTGTTGGGACATCGAAATGTGGATGATTGGGAGGAGAAATCTGCATGTTGGTTAGAGGGAAATGTGTATTAGAGGAAAAAGAAAAAAGTGTGGGTGTGTGTCCAAGAACCATCGAGGGAATCACACGGAGTTTTGAAACAGAGGACCAGCCATACTTCAGGAATTGTGTTACATTTCCTCTTCTACCAGGCCAGAAAAATCCTCAGGGTTGCAGTTGGTTGAGTGGGAAGCTGACACATGCATGTTGCAACAGATTTCATTGCTAAGATGGCAGTGTGTGACCTCAGATATTTAAGAAAGGATTTGATACAAAACTGCTTGAGGAAATTAACCTGAGATTTGTAAGTAGCGTGTTTTGTGAAAGACTCCCATTTCAAAACTGCTTGTTCCTTCCCTTCCCTCCTTTGGGCCAACATGGGTACCAGAGGAGAGCGAGTCTGGTTGGGTTTTATTTACAATTTTTAACATACTGAGAAGCGTGGTCTGTCTGGACTGCCCTTCTCTAGTATAATGATACAAAACGTGCAGCTATTTTTCAGTGTATTTTAAGGGTTGTATATATAGAACACGTTGAAAAGAGCAGTTAAAGGAAAGGGTTTGCTTTATTCTAACTGGGACATAATTTCTTAAAGGGAAACCCCTCCCCCCACTACGTGGCATCAGAAAGTATACCTCAGACAGGTATATAACATTCATGTAAATGTACTTCTGTTGCGTTGTAAAGCATTTTGGGATGCTCTTGTGGAGTACGGTGCTACGTTGGGTCATTTTCTGTGAAAGTTTCCATAGTTTTAGCAACAGTTTTGTTCTCTGTAGGAAACACAAAATGTTTTCCCCACAAGTTCCCTTTCACCATAATTTGCAGTCCCCTTTAGGAAAGGAAGCCACAACACAGCAGTGAGCTTATCTTCCTTCTGACATCAAAAACGCTGACTTTTAAAAGCATTCTTACGCTTTCTAATCACTGTGGTGAAATGTTTCAAATTAATGAGGAAGGAGCCTTCAGTTTCTGAATCTAGACCTTTTTTTTCAGCTTTAATGGCTTTATAAGGCTTTAAGACTTGGCTGAACCTTTATTTCATGAAATAAAATCCCCCAATACCCAAGTATTCACCTGTCTGTTTTCAGTCAGGATGAGTAAAACTCTCACCACCCCTTTGATGGGGGTTTTGGATCAGGTTCAATGTTTGGGCTTTTCACTTGCACCCGTTTTCTAAAAACCATGTACAAACCCCCCTGGTGTGTTGGTGTGCTGGCATAGGCAGGCTGGGGTGGCTGTGAAGCTGAGGGGTGTGGTAAGGAGGGACTTTCTAGCGAAACCGCTTTCCTCTGAGGGTGAAAGGTCTGTAGGGAGCCCCAGAAGGGCTTCTTTTAATAGGGCATTACAATCTGCAAGCCCTGTGGCTGGCTCTTGTCTCTCGTTTCTTGTTGATTGGTGTTTCCCAGAGGTGTCTGAACCATTTCAGAGTTGGGCATGCTTTTCAGAGAGGGAGGAGGAAATGTTTATACAACCTCTTTTTGCTTTATTTGTGCTAGAGAATGTGAATTGCTTAATATTGGACACTGGCAATGCTCTGAGCACAGAAGAGAGGGGAATTCCTCTTGGGCTGTTGCTCATTTCCCCCCTCCCCCAGTTACTGGAGTAATGTAAGGAGAGCGGTGCAAGCAGGTGAGGCTCCTAGTTTGCTGCTGATGAGCTATTTCTGGAGTGCTTTTTACCTAGTAGATAACCAAGTTCTGCACTGAAACAGAGTACATCTGTCATTACCATTTAAAAGTCTTTTGAAGTATTTATTTGTTTTGTGTGTTTTTTATTGCTTAAAGGCAATATCAAGGTCTGTTCCTCTTGGCTGCGTTAAAGAAACAAAATATGCAGCGAGAAACGAAGATGTTTTAAGTGGTGCTGAGGACAACTGAATAAATTATGTAGGATGGGCATACAAGTACATTTTGGAAAAATCTGTTACAAGCATTGATTGTACTAGACTGTAAAGTATGTATCTGCATAGCAGAACCATGGGGCATGAAGTAGGGAAAATAGGAAACGGAACTGTCCAATTTCAGAAAATAAAATTGACCTGAGATGAATGTATTCTCAGTGCAGTCCTGAAAGACGTGACCTCAGCACTTGTTCATGAATCCAATTAGATGCAAGTAAACCCTGAGAATTTCTGAGGAGTTTTATTCACAAAATAAGATTAATTTCCATTCTTCAGACTGCATCTTACTCTATAAATAATTTCCCTCTAAATTAGAAATGCTGAAAGTTGAACATTCCTCAAGGGTGGGTTTGGGGGGGGACTCACTTATGTAAGATTATAACTTATTCCTGGAGACCGATGCTGGCTGTACAAAATATTAAAATAAACTGCTATAATTCAGAAGGTTATATTGGTGTGGATTGTTGTAATGACATCTGTGGTGTGGCGATAGGAAAAATGGAGCAGCAGCTTGGTGCACCAAGAAGATGGAGGTGTTGGGACTGTGTGATTTGCTGTGTGACTGCTTGGAAAGAGAAAATCTGATGAGAGGTTAATGAGAACTTGAAAACTCAGTGGTCCAATAGCCATGCTTGGGAAATAGTGTTCTTTGAAACAGGGATGCTCATTCCTGACCTTGTGGGAAAAGGCTTTCCTGTCTGCTGGATGCCTCTTGATTCGAGTTGACGTGTTGTGCATGCTGCTGCAGCTGCACTGCTGATGTACCGAGGTGCCTCCTTCCTGAGTCAGCTTCTCTCATTCTTTATCTTTCTGTACGGAAGTTCAGTATTTCATGGTGCTTCTAGGAAGAAGTAGATGATGTTAGGAAGAAGTAGGAGACTGTGTTATGGTTGTGAGCTCCGAGGTACTTTCCAAACTCTCTGCATAAAGAATTTGCTTTTAAGCGTTGAACTTTTGGTGAGCATCTCTGTGAGCTGCTTCAGGAGCGAAGAGGTTTGATGCTGGCTCTCCCAAAATGTAGAATTGCGTTTTCTAGCCTGAGATCCTTCAGAGCCAACTAAACAGCTGTTTGAAGTATTTTCCCTACCTGACCCCTGGTGATTTAAGTGCTTTGGTCAGGAGAAATCTCAACTGTTTATAGCTTCCATAACAGAAATCAATCAGATTCACAGGTCTTGGCTTCAGAATCCTGCAGGACATACAGAATCTTTTGATAAGTGAGCATTTTGCCTATCATTTGAATAAAACTCGGAATTTCTTGTGGTTTAAGCATGCTGTGAAATCTCTTGGGAGTTTAACTGTTGGTCGTCTGGTCTGGCCTTGTCTCCACGTCTGAGGAAGCAAAGAGCTCAGTGTGACCGTTTTTTCGGGGCAGTCTGTTCTTGGCTTTGGTGGTGGCTTGTGTTGGCCCAAAGTCAGTTATGTGGCTTCTTTTTCTTTAAGAGGACAGAAACGTTGCTGGAATGAACTAGTAAATAAAGATGGCATGGGAAACTTGCTCTGGTGAGGATATCTTCTTAAATGATTTTTCCCCACTTAAAATGCAGCGGTGAGTACATTTCTGTGAGCCTTGTGTGTGCCTTCTACTAGCAAATGCCATTTGGTTTTGTTACTTTTGGCCATGTTTCAGTTGACAAAACTAGCCAGGAACAGATGGCCTTGATCCTGTGGGCTGAACTGCTGCTGCCTTGGATGTAGCTGGATTCCTCTCTGCCTGCCTCTAAATCTTATGGCAAGCTGGAACATATTAGCTTTTCTCACCGCTTACCAATGATCTACATTTTTAAGTTTCCTTAACACATGGGTGTGTTTTCCAGATGGCTGCCTCTATGTTTTTCCTCTTCCATTTTCACTGGGATGATGACAGCAGCGATAAATTAAAATAATACTTGTCCTGATAATAGTTTGGTTGTACAAAACTTATTTTCTTTAAGTGTTTGAGAGGTGACCAGCCTTCAGTGATTCCTGAACCTGTATATTTCAGTACTGGTATTCCAGTTCTAGCTAAATCTTTACATGTTATAAATATCTCTGGACGTTGGCAGGAATGCAGATATAAGTGCTAATGTGCTGCCATTCTCTGCAACAGTGCTGGTTCTTGCCCGATACAGATAATTTGGTGAAATCTGTAGCCATAAAACCAGCAGTATTGAAATCTGCTCTAGGATCCTTTCTACATGTACAAAACACACTTTTAAATGGTTATGAGTGGGACACGTTTGATTTCAGTGACAGTAGTACACACTAAGGCATTATTCAGCTGAAAGGGAAATTAAGTGGTAAATGAATAAAGAAAGTTTTTTGTGCAGCGATGCTGAACCTGCTAATTTATAAGCAGCTTTTTTCATACTGCTGTATGCATATTATGTGACTTCCAAATGAATTCTCACACCTCCCCACAAGAGGGCAAAGTTAACAGTGCTGTGGGAGCCTAGACTTTGAATTGCCGAATCATTGTGCAAAATAAAATGTTTAATGTGGAACCTTCTCCATTAGCATTTGCTTCCTGTCCTCTTTAAAAAACGAAACAAAACCCCTCAACTAACAGCTGATTGTTGAGAAGTGGATAATGGACATAGATCTCTTTAAAAATATTTATTCATTTGAACACTTGCTCCTGAAATTAGGCTGGACAAATCTTTGCAGTTCAGAAAATTACTTTCAGTGGCAGCAAACTGAGCTGAGTCTCCAAGATCACCTTAAAAGACAGAAAGGGATTTGAGAGGCTTAAATAAAATGTCACTGTTGCCGTTCAAGCTCTAGTTGTTCCCAGATGTGTTTTTCTTCCTCTCAGGCATTTATGACCAGGAAATAGTGATATCATCAAAAGATTATTTAAAAAAAAAATTCCATTGCAGTGGGGGAAAAAAAAAAATAATTGAAAAGGGATTTTAAAATCAAACTTGTTGTATGTTACAAGTGTTGTTTATTCTTCTGCAGTTTTACCAGCTTAAGAACCAAGGGTGTTTTTTCCCTTCCATGCCTGCACTTGCAGATTTGTTGTGAGCTAGCTGGAGTTGTTTCATGTTTACTTGATTTATTTTGGTTTTTTAATCCATGTTGTTCTACTTACGTTAAAAGCTATAAATTTACCTGCAGGCAATGTTTGAATGGGGAAAAGTATGAAGGTATAACCTTGCCTGTTCTTGTCTTTTGTTTAGCGTCTGATCTTGTGAGCTCCTAGTTTCTGCAGCTAAACCTTTGGTAATTTTATCCAGAAACAGCAGGAGCATTGCTGTGTAAATGAGTGACTATCCCAACCTTTCTATGTCTACAGTATTTTAATACTCAGGGTGGGCACTGTGTCCCTAAATATTTCACTGTATGTTTTGCAAAGTGATTTTTAAAATTATATTGTCCTTTCTTAAACTTCTGATTTCAGGCCGTGAACATGCTCTTGTTTGCAGAGTGCAGCCTGCACATCTTTAGAGGCATGCTCTGAAGCCAGGGACAGCTGTGGAAATGGCTGGTTTACAACAGTGTGTAGGCTACAGCTACAAACACCATTCTCTTGCAAACATTCAAGCTCGGTTATGTACCTGCAGCAAGACAGCGCTTGCATCCTTTGTTCCTGATGTCTTTGTTTAAAGCACTCTGTCAGCTTCAGTTTGCAGCAGGTGAGTTGAAAATCGAGGCAAGACAAAACCTAATCATTACAGGAAGCACAGACCTATTTTCAACCTAAGTAGGTGAGCATGTGCAGTGTGTATGGGCCTTCCCTTGTCTCTCTGTAGCTCAGTGCATTAAATCCGAGAGTGAGTCAGGTACGGGCTGTTCTCCATCCACCAAACCTCCAGGGTACCTGGTTGCAGGTCACAAACTGCTGATTGCAGCTTCAGCTGCGAGAAAGACTTTAGTAATTGGAGACTGAAAGCCTGCGAGTTGTTAAACCAAGGTTATGAAGTTTTGTTTCCTATGCTTGGGAGAAGTAAGCAGTATCCAATTTCTTTTAAACAGTAATTTAAGTACATTCCACCAACTTCAATAAATGAGTTAATAGTTATAAAGTGCTGGACAAGCCTGTCAGTAAGGAAATGGATGTTGACCGAAATGACTGTTGTATGATATTCCAAACACTGGTTAAAGCTTTTCAGCCTCTGTTTGGCACTTCCAAATCACCTTTGGGGGTTTTATTTGTTGGCTTTTTTTTCTGGTTTGTTTGGGTTTTTTGGTGCTCAGGTGACAGAGGACATTTTCTCATGCCGGATCCCATCTGACATTGGGCACCTGAGCCCTTCCACAAGGTCTTGCTCAAGAGCAGAGCTTGAGCGTAGGATTTCGTGCTTTGTAAATGGCCAAGAGATTTTATCTTGGCTTTAGCATGTGATTTTTTTGTCTTATTCATGGAAAAATAATTGACACATGCAGAACTGGGGCAGAGTTGAAATAAACATTAGTGAGACTCAGGAGAGCGTGCAGTACGTAAGTAAACTGGGTTTGGGTGTCAACCTGTGGCCCAGTGATCCTGCCCCACCATACTGTGCATCTCTGGCACATGGCTTCTCTTTCCTGGCAGAGTGTTAGCTGTTCTTCTCGGAAGAAGAATGGAGTGCAGGAGCAGATGATCTACTTTATGAATTGATGCATCTGTTTGAGCTTACCCCCCCTCACAATTCTGTGTGTGCTGGGTTTGTGTGGTGGGGATTTTGGTAGTGGGGGAGGTGGCTACAGGGGTGGCCCCTGTGAGAAGCTTCTCAAAATCTTCCCCCAGCTCCAAGTCAGACCCACCTGTGGCCAAGGTGATGGTGGCTGCACCTCTGTGATAACATATTTAAGATGAGGAACCTGAGAGGGGGTTTGGGGAGTGGACTTTGAGGACCGGTTATGAGAAGGACACCTCTGTGAACACCGGGGTCAGTGGAAGGAAGGAGAAGGAAGGGGGGGAGATGTGCTGGAGCAGACAGCCCCCCTGTATCCTGTGGTGAGAGGGCAGGGCCACCCCCCTTGCCTCCCATGGAGGTCACCAGAGCAGATTCACCTGCAGTCTGTGGAGGACCCCGGGACTCTGAGGGCAGAAGCTGCCCTCGCTGCTGCAGCCTGGCGCTGGGAGGAATGCAGCACGTGGCGGTGACCCACGCGGGGCGTCTCCAGAAGAATGTGTCCCACCACAGCGAACAGCGTGTGGCGGACTGTCTCCCACGAGAGGGATGCCCCGTGGGGCAGGAGGAAGAACGCAGAAGAATGATTTCCCCCCTCCTTGGAGGAAGAAGCAGCAGGACTGACTGCACCTCCCATCCCCTGTGCTGCTGGAGGATGAGGTAGAGATATTGGGAACAAAACTGAGCGTGGGGGTAGGTGTTTAAGATATGGTAACGCTTCTCACTGTCCCATTCTGTCTGTTAAGTGCCATTATCGTTAGTGTTTTGAATTAAAGTGACAGCTTTTTTCTTCCCCTAAGGAGCCTGACTTTTGCTTGTGACCGTTTATGGGTGAGCAACCCCTCCCTCCCCTTATCTCCATTCCTGAGCCTTTTTTGATTAATTTTTCTCCTTCCTGGCGCTGGGGGAGGAGAGGGGTGAGTGAATGACTGTGGAGTGCTCAGTTTCCCTCTGGGCTCAAACCAGGACACTGTTAATTGGAGATCTCAGACTGAAAGGTAAAAGCCTGCTTTGAGTCTCTCCTAGATATAATTGTGGGGATGAGGTTTCAGATACAACAATGATGTTGCTTTCATGTTAGAGTTTATTTTAAAAAGACACAGAAACTTATATACTGGCATATTTTTTTTCCTGTTTTTTTAAGTGAGAACAAGGAATATGCCCTAAGTGCAAGAGGGCACTCCAGTCCTGAAACCCTGCAGACTGGCTTTTCTTTGTCACTTGTCCCAAAAGTATCAGGTTAGAAAGTAGGGCTGCTGAGCCCCATGGCTGAAAACCCTGGGAAAGGAAGGCTTTGGAGTGTGAATGCTCTGGCTTGCTTCCAGCCCTGATTGCAAGCCACCTTGCTTGTGAGATAAGGCCATGTAGCAGGGACGTTGACTCTCCTGGCCAGAGGGGAAAGCTGGGTGGGATACACATAGCCCTATAAGGAGCTGAGATAGTTTCACTTCCCTTCGTATTAATGACAGAATTACTCACTTCTCTTAAGCAAAACGGCAGCAGGAAGAAAGTACGTGTGACTATAGATGTGAGTAGTTTTTCTTGCCACAATTTGCATTGCTGAATGATGTCATGGCAGTGACTTGTCCATACCTTCTCCTTCTGGTGACTTGGAGCCTCCAGTCCTGACAGTTTTTAGCATAAAACTTTGGTGAATGTGCTGGAGTAGATGGGTCAGGGGTTTTTATTGCTTTTAATAGTTTCTTTTATTATACAGTAGAAAAATAAAGGCAATTTATCCACATCTGGCAACCCTGTGGGAAAAAGTTGAGCAACGCTTTCAGGTCTAGGTGCCAGTGAAGACCAAACTGCAGATGTAAGCAACCTGGTCGTGGGGGTTTCCAGCTCCTGAGGAGATCTAGGAGGAAACTTCTGTTGTCTACTCTGGCTTCGTGCACTTGTTTCTCCTGCAGGTGCATTGCAAGAAATTCTCTAGAGCATCTGGACTTGCAGTGGTGTCTGTCTCAGCCCATGATCAAGTGGATGCACTTGGCTTGGAAATACAAAGCTCTGCTCTGGCAACATCTGATGTGCCCTGCTGCGCTCTCTGCTCTGAAGATCTAGTGATCCGGATGCTGTGCTGCTCTCCGAGAGGAGGTTCTCTTTGGCGTGGTGGTGGATCCCTCGTGCAGACCTCAAACCCCCAGCCTGGGAAAGGCGGGTGGTCCAGGCTACACGAGGCGGCAGGAGCCTGGCCGCAGGGTGGGCTCGGCCGCGCGTGTGGGCAGGCAGAGGGGGAAATGAGATCACTTCTGCGGCTCTCCCTTCTGCAGCCCACTTCCTCTTGGTTTACATCTCGCACACTGTCAGATGGGGGAGAAAGAAGAGGGCAACTGCAAGGATAGAGCTGCCTGTGCCAGACCTGCCTGCGGGAGGGGAACTGGGGTGCAGCCTCGCCCCCCTGGCACAGGGGTCCAGGAAGTGGCTGTGGCCCTTCCCACACAGCACTGCACTCTCAGAAATACAGTTTTGCTTTCTACTAAGACCTATTTCTGCTTGTGCCTTTTCTTTTGGAGACTAAAGACTCAAATTTTCCTATATAAAAATTGCTGCTATGAGGCTCTTGGTTGGTATCTAGGTCCTTGATGAAATGCCATCCAAGCCCAAAGGTGTCATTTTCCCAGTTGTCCACTCTAGAAGCTCACCTGGGTCCTTGCAGACTTGTCAGTCTGATGGGGTTATTTCCTTCCCTCTCCTCCCTGAGCTTGTGTGGCCCCTATGTCTGCAGGTGTTGGCAACCAGCGCATCGCTGCAAAGGCAAGTGAAGAAGCCCAGCACTGTGCTCAGAACAACCCACAATTAATTCTGGGTTCAAAGAAGTTGTCTTCTCTGAGTACCCTCTTTCCATCAGAAAAGCTGGCAAGAGCTAGGAGACTCCTGACAGCTGAAAATGGGGGAGCAAAGGTGAGCTTGGTGGTGGATGAGTGGGTAATCTCGTAGAGCGAGAGCGCACCAGGAACGCGGGCCGCTGCTGGAGAGGGAACAGGAGCAGGAGCAGGGGGGTGGAGTCGGCGCAGGGAAGGATGCTCTTGCTACCGTGGGTTCCCAGGCACACAAGCCGCTGCGAAACCAGAGCCTGAAGCTGTAGTTTGGTGACTAATGTCAGTGCTAGCACAAGCGTTTCCTTGGAAGAAGGCTGAGTGGCTAGGTAAACAAGCAAGCAGGTGGTTTGGCTACAGCTGGGGTGCAGAGTGGGGGGAAAAGGAAGATTTTGAAGTTGATTATAAATTGCTGATTTTTGTCTCTTGATTTCCCCAGCAAGCAATACGCTGTAAGGAAGCTGTGCTTCTTGCAGAGCTCCAGTTCAGCTGCAGTGCTGGGGCTGTAGAGATGCCCGTACTTGTGTACATGGATGCATCCATGCCATCCTGGGGTGGGACATGTCGTTCACTATTCCCTGGGGATAAACTGGGTGGATTCTCATCAAGAAATTCAGCCAGGTGAACTTTGAGAGCTGTAGTTTACAGTTCAGCTTTCCAGCTGGCCATTTTAGCTTTTCCATTTTGGCTGTGTAATGAATTATCTGTTTTCCTTTTCATATTCATAGCTCCTCTTAAATTAAAGGTAACTACTACAACCAGCAGCTTCTGAGATACAACAGACCTTAAGCTTCCCTTGTTTTATCCAGACTAGGTGATTAAATTAAATAACTTCTTTACTGTGTCTTCTTGATGTGTTTGCCTGTATGCACTCCAGCCAAGCAGCAAATGAAAATTTGAGGTAGATTTTAAAGATAAAATTTGAGTTTTCTTTAATTTTCAAAGTCATCCCTGACCACAGTGCCTGGGAATGAATGGGTGGAGGGAGATGCTGGTCTTCATCCTGCAACTGCTCCTCCATTTCTGATGAAGTCCAACAGGTGAGATGCTGCTGCAACAGAACTGGTCCCTCAAGCCTGCCTGATATCTTCTGTAATGCTGTTCACAGTTTCCCATGAGCCTGGAGATCACAATGTTTCTGTAGGTATTTATCTAAGCCTTCCCAGGCTCATTTCCCAGAGCAGCTGATACTTCTCCGTGTCTCTTTTTCCCTTTGAAGGGGTGCTCTCTGGATCCTCTCCTTGTTGGGCAAAATGCTGGAGACCGAGCAGAGCCAGAGGCTCTCCAGTGCTGCTTTGTGCCATCATCCCTTGCAGAACGACTTGTTTAATTCTCTCCAGGTCTCCATGGCAGTGGGAGTAGAGGAAGCCCATGGAGAAATATTTCTGTTTCACTTTGCCCTAGCTCATCTGAGGCTGTGGTCCTGCTGGTCTGTGAACCATGAGTGACCTTTTTCTTGGTGCTTCCACTCCGGAAGAAATCACGTTTCCTGCAGGAAAACAAGGGGCATGCAAAGGTGACACGATGGGGTTGCTGTTTTCTGTTGCGGTTTCCCCTTTACCATGGGGTCCCTGTGCTGGGTGCAGCAGTCCAGGGGCAACCCAGCGGCTGCCCTCTTGTTGCAACTTTTCTCTTAGTTTGTGTTTGACAATGTGAGGGTTGTTGAGGGGAAAGAGATGGTTTGGAAGGAAGAGGAGGTGGGAGGAATGGAGGAAGCTCACTAGGTGTAAAACCGTGTGGGGATTCCTGGTCCTCTCCTAGAGCTGCAGGAATTGCAGCTGCAAGTGTGGACGTGGCTGAATCTTCTTCAGTTTAACCCACCGGTGCCATTGAGCTGGACTGGAGCTTCATGAAGAGCTGATCAGACCAGTAGCTCCCAGCACCTCAATCCTTATTACCATGCTGATATTAAAAAATATATAAAAAACTCTCAAAGCACATATCCAGCCTTTACTGGGAGGGCTGGGTGGGGGCATAATGCTGCTTGAGAGGAAGAGGAGGGAAGCAAGCAGCAGCTTCGGGATGTTTCCAAAGCCATCTGGCTCCAGGATGTGGGAAAGGTGTGAAAAGCAAGGCTGCTGCCAGCAGCCCCAGCACAGAGCTGGTGACCACTCTGTGGGGAGCTGTGGTGGGATGTGGCTGCTTTCTGGGGAGGCCAGGGTAGGTAAAATGCGGCTGGGAGCTGCGGGGGCTCTCCCATCCCACGGTGCCCTGTCAGCAAGCACCTTTGCTGTTGGGGAAGGGGGTTGTGCTGGCTTGGCTTCGGTCAGCTAAGCGATGGGCTGGGGATGAAGCAGTGGATGAAGCACATTGTTTTCTTTCCCAGCTCCTCCTGGGCTGCAGTAGGGAAGCTGGTTGAACCCTTGGGGCATCACCTTGTTTGGTGGCACCACGTGAAGGAATCTCATTGCAAGGTCTCCCAGGAGCCTCCAGATCACCCAGGAGTGGAGTATTGCCACAGGTGAGGACGCTCAGGTTTTACAGCTTCAGGACTCCCCAGCCTTGGGGTGAATCTCTGCCAAGTCCTGTGTCTCCGAGCATCAGATGAGTGGTTTTGGTGTGGGTCGGGCTTGTGGCATGGTTTAGGGGATGAGGAGTGGGTTTGTAATCGTCAGCCGGTCTCAGCCCTTCATATGACCTTGAGCATTGCCATGGGAATTTTGCCCTGCTGCGGCGCTTTTGCCATCTGCTCCAGTTCACTTGGATGAGGACTGCTTCTTTCTTGTTCTTGACTCTTATACTTCAAACTTCCTTGAAAATGAAGGAAATGAAACCACAGGCAGCCTTCATGAGTGACATGGGAGAGCTCGGTGTCCTTCCAGAGAAGAAATGAAATTTAGGGTGAAGGCAGAAAATATTATCTCCCCAGTCATTTGTGCTGGCTGCAGGAGTTTGGGGTCACTTAGTCGGGCAGGTGGGGGTGACCCAAGCTGCAACGTCCCTTGGTGAGGTGCGTGGTGTGCTGCAATAACATGGTTCCTCTCCCGACTGCTGCAGAAGGTCTTATCGGTGCGGGTGCCTGGGACATGCAGCATTGATATGTAGGGTAGTACCTACTGATCCCACCAAGCAGGGTCCTGTTGCAGGGCTGAATCCTTTCTTCATGGTTTTGAACCCTTTCCCAGCTAGGTAAACCCATGCAAACCATTTTCCCCCTCAATGGCTGGATTTGCTGGGGATTTGGGGGTGCATGGAGGACACTGGCAGAGGGGAGACATGGGGTGGGAAGGGACATGGAGAGCAGAGGTAGATGGGGGTGAAGAGGAATGGGGCCTCCCTGTTCATACTGCCTTGGAAATGTGGATTATTTTTTTCCCTCTCTCTGCCTTGGCAGTTGTGGCAAAAGCCATTTATGCTGACTTTTGCATAGGGATTGGTACCTGGAAGATCCCTGTATTCAGATGGGTCCGACTTGCCCCCTTGGTGCTGAGTTTGCTGAAATCCCAGGCAACCCCGGGAGACCCAAAGGTCTGCAGGCGGTAGGATCTGAGCATCCCAAATCTCACTAGACAACACGAGGGGCTGCGCGCTGGTGTCCCAAAGTGGGGACTTGACATCTTGGGAACACGTTCAACCAAAGGGCTTGGAATGCAGTGGGAAATAACAGCACCTTCTTCTTTACCTGCGGGAAGTGCGTCTCTTGGCTCCTGTTGAAGCCCCTGTGCTGGGTTCTGGAGGCCAGCAGGGGGCTAGAGGGACACCATGGACATAGGCGCCGTGCAGGGGAGCACCGCCCAGCCCGTGGCTTTTCTCCAGCTCTGGCAGGGTCGGTGGCATGGCTCCGCAGGCAGGAAACCCCTGCGGGGCACTAGCACTGCTGCCTGAAACCCTTGCAGGGGTTTTGCTGCTGGAGCTCTGCAGAGAAGTCACAGTGCAAGGGTTGTCCCTGGTGCTGGCTTGTACTCGGGAGCAGCGGGAGAGCCAAGAGCTGTGTGACTCTTGGCGGGGGCCGGTTCCCCCTGGCATCCCCCTCCCTGCCTTCCCAGCCCCGTGGTTCCTCCTTGCTGGGGAGCTGTTTGCGAGTGCATGACCCGAGTTGTAAGTGCTGATATCAGTAAGCGAAGTGCCTGGCCCCGCGCTCTGCCTCCATGTGACTGCAGTTTCCGTTAGCTCCTTCCGCAAAGGCTATATTAGTGCTAAGTGAGAAAACGGGTGGGAGAGAAACCCAGCGGGTCACACCTACCCTTGGCCCCCAAGAACCCCCCGAGTGCAGCCGGAGGGGCTGCTGGCTGCAGGATGAGTTGTGGCAAACCCCACACGCCGCCCCACGTGGTGAGTAACTGCCCCCCAGTACCTTCGCTGGGGAAAAACCCCGCTGGGTGTTTTTTTGGGAGCCCCCCGAGCCCTTGCCAGCTTGAAGATCCATGGTGGCTGTGTGATGCTAATGCCCACGCTTGTGAGAGCTGTGGCTTTGTGGGGGGGTGCTGGGGCTGGGGTGCACCCTGGGTGCTCCCAAACCTCTTGCATGTGGTCTTCTCTGTGGGGTGCAGGCAGGGGTTTCCTGCCTGTGCTGCTGCCTGCACTCCCAGCCAGGCAGGCGCCGTCCCCGCAGCCCCAGGGAGGGTGGAGGTGCTTCTGATGTTGGGGGAAGCCAATGCTGGGTGGCAAAGAAAGACTGAAGGAAAGCGTGAGCTTCTGCAGAGGGGTTCAGGGCCCAAAGGTGAGCTGGAGCCAAAGCCCCTGTTTTTTGGGTGCAGTTTGGGCACACCAGGGTCCCTCGCCTGCCACTGTGCCTGGATGCAAGGTGCTGCTGGAGACTGAGGGCTTGGGAGGGTGTAAGCTGCTGTGCATCAGCTCCAGCCTGGGGAAGGGGGGCTTCCTCGCCATCCCCACCAGATTAATAAATGCTGCTTTGATAAGACACCAGCTTCACACTTGTGGCTCTCCCATGGAAAGAGACAACCCAGGACTTGTCCCCCTCTCCCTCTGCACTGCAAGGTTCTGGCTACCTGGTCTGCCAGAAATACACCACACCCCCACACCACACCCCCCCCCATTTCTTCTTCAAGCACTGGCAGTTATGAAAACGCTGCTTGCTGAGCCCTCGCTGAGGCCTTGGTGCTCATTTGCCTGAGGTTCAGCTTTTCCCCAGATGCAAATGCTGTCAGCTCCGGTTCCACTGAGTTAGTAACAGGGCACCTCACGCTGGAGAGCCTCCACTTCCCCAGGATGACCTGTGGCAGGGGTGGGTGCTGGACGGGACTAGATGTGGCTGGGTCGGTGTCCCCTGGGGAAGTGTTTGGTGCTGGAGAGGGGGAACACGAGCCCTGGCTGGGGAGGGGAAGCCTCTGCTTGGGGGTTTGCAGTTCAGTGGCGCTGGCGAGCAGCTGTGCAGCGACGATGGTGCCTTTCCCATGTGCAGGGACTGGGCTGCCACCCCTCTGTCCCTTCTCTTCTCCTGCCCTCCAGGCTGTCCTTGGTGGGACCCCTGCAAGGGCTCCTGCTGGGGCGAGTGGGCTCGGTGCTGGGGGTCTTTACCATTTCTCCATGGGCAACTTGTGGTGGCCCAGATCTCATGGAGCATCGTGGCCACTGCTATAGCATGTTGGGAGCCTATTACCTCTGGGTGGTCCTTGGGGCAATGACGGGAGCTGTGCGCCTGCCTGCAGGCAGCAGCCACGGGCAGGAGGCCAGCCGTGCACAGGGATCGCCGCTGCCATGATGGGCTCCCTGGGAAAAGCTGGACCTTTGCTGGGATGAGTGGTCTGCAGCTTTTGACTTCCTCACTTCTGTCTCCACCTCTGCAGGAGTGCCACCGCTGAAATGGAGGCCCTGCTCCCTGGTCTCTCCCTGCTTCTGGTCCTCCTGGCGTTGGGATGGGGAAGCGGGGCAGTTGCAGCCTGGGCAACACCTCCTGGCAGCTGTGAGCTCGTAAGTCCTCTCTTGCAAAACACTCACCCTTCTGACTTCTTGGTCCTGTCCTACAAAGACCAGGTGCCTCAGCATCTCCAAACCTTCCCCCTCCCAACTACTGGCTTAGCTTAAGGGGTGGACTAGGTGCTGAGGCTCTAACTGTAGAGCCAACTCCTCCATCCTCACTCTGGTCCCCAAACTTCTCCTGCCTCGTCTCACCCCGTCTCCTGCCCCTTGGAGCAGCATTACGTACCCACTTCTTGCTTTAGGTGCAGAGCACCACAGACTGCACTGGGAGATGGCTGAGCTCCGTCCCAGGAAATCTTCGAGGTGATACTGAGGAGCTGTTGCTTGATGACAATACTATCCAGATTCTGGGCAACACCTCCCTGCTCTCGTACCACCAGCTGCGGCGTCTCAGCTTGACCAAGAACCGACTGGAGCTCATCATGCCTGGTGCTTTCCTCAGCAGCCAAGGCCTCCACATGCTCTCCCTGGCAGACAACCTCCTCTTCACCAACTACTCACTGACAGCAGCTGCTCTTTCTGCTCTGCCAGCCTTGAGAATGCTGGATCTGTCTGGAAACCGCCTCACTGAGAACATGGTATCGGTTTTGGTCTGGAACCTGTCTTCCTTGGAGTCCTTGTCTGTGGCCAGGAACCTCATCATGAGGCTGGACTCATCTGTCTTCATGAACCTGACACAGCTGTTGGAGCTGAACCTGGAGAAGAACTACATCTTTGAGATTGATCAAGCTTTTGAAGGGCTGCAGAAGCTGCAGAGGCTCAATGTAGCTTACAACTACCTCCCATGTGTAGTGGAGTTCAGCCTGACCCAGCTCAGGGTGCTCAATGTCAGCAACAATGTCATAGAGTGGTTTCTGGCCCTGGAAAGTGATGACCTCTTTGAGCTGGAGGTGCTGGACTTGTCCCACAACCGCCTCCTCTTTTTCCCCGTGTTGCCCCGGCAGAGCAAGCTGCACTCCTTGCTGCTGAAGGACAACGAGATGAGCTTCTACCAGCGCCTCCCCAACGGCACATCCCTGGCTGACGTCACGGTGCAGTTCCTGCTCATCGATGGCAACTCCACCAACGTCACGACGGTCAGCCTCTGGGATGAGATCTGTCACAGCAACCTCTCCTCCCTGCGCCTCCTGGACATGAGCCAGAACCAGGTCTGGTACCTGCCAGAGGGCTTCCTGGCCCAGATGCCCTCCCTGACCCACCTGAAGCTCAACCAGAACTGCCTGGAGACGTTTCACCTGTCGGAGGGGGACCCCTTAGCCATGCTGACAGAGCTGGACCTCAGCCAGAACCAGCTGGCAGAGCTGGGGGCGGAGGTGGGGGCCAGGGACATCCTGCCCAACCTGCAGCTCTTCAACCTCAGCACCAACAGGCTGCGGGTGCTTCCTCCTCAGGTTTTCACCTACATCAGGAAGATCACTACCGTGGACCTCAGCCGCAACCGTGTTGACCTCTGTCCCCAGCCAGCTGTTGGAGATGAGGTGGAGGGTCCCCCCTGCGTGGACATCAGGGGCATCAAGACCTTGACTCATCTCTCCTTGGCTGGCTGTGGTCTGCGGGGACTGGGTGGCCACCCCTTCCGGGGGACATCGCTGATGCATTTGGACCTCTCCGACAACCATCAGGCACTGTCCAGGGACCTGAGGTGGCTGCGGGACCTTGCTCTGACGCTGCAGGTGTTGTCTCTGAGGAACACCAACCTCTCCTCTGTCGTGGTGGACTTCTCTGCCTTTAACAGCCTCGTGCGCTTGGACCTTTCGGGGAATTCCTTGACTGTCTTCCCCACCTCGCTGGGCACCCTGAAACTGCGCAGCCTGGACCTGCGGGACAACTGCCTCCCGGCTCTGCCACCAGACGTCACGCAGACCCTGCTGGGGAGGAGCCTGCGGGAGCTCTACCTCAGCCGAAACCCGTACAACTGCTGCATGCTGGGCTGGTGGGACTCCCTGCAGCAGGTTGAGGGGTTGCGGGTCCCTGATGGGCAGGAGGTGACGTGCAGCTACGCCTCCCGAACGCTGAGCCCCAGGGCGCTACCCGAGCCCGTCCTGTGGAGCTGCCGCTGGCAGATGGCCGACCTGGCGCTCCTCTACCTGGTCTTGGCTCTGCCCACCTGCCTGACGCTCCTCGTGGCCATCGCCATTGTCTTCCTCATGTTCAAGCAAAAGCTGCTGAAAATGGTGAAAAGCCGGTGCGGGGTGTCCAGCTCTTACTGATGGCTGAGGAGGAGGAGGAGGAAGGGCTTGGGAACAGTGAATGAGAGTGGGTTGCCAGGATTACAGGCAGTAACCCCTCTGAGGTGGGTGAGATGGATGAGGTGGTGAAACTTGATGGATGGAGGACCAGGAGGTGCTGGGAGAGCTGCTGTTCCTGCTAGGTGCCCCGGGGTACCCAAAGGGTGTGGGGCTGTATCTGGTGATGGAGTTTGGGGCTGTGCTGGGTGTCCTCAAGGGACATCCCTCAAAAGGGATGTCTTTAGCAGAAACCTTCACTGCTGTTGGCGAGAGCTGAGGGGACACACCACCAAACCCCTCTTGGCTGAAGGAGCACAGACTGACTCCTCCAGCACTGTTTTTCCCCTCTTTTGGGCAGTTCCTTTTATTTATTCACCCCCATACCAAACTCTGTGCTGCAAAACATCCTCCAGTCCTGCAACCAGCCTCCATGAAGCGTCCCAGCCTGGAGTGAGCATCACCTGGGGGCTGCAGAGAAGGGTCTCCGTGGCCACAGCGTCCCACGCTGGTCTTTCTGGCACTGGCAAACTCACAGGCAGCCGCGGGCGTGCACCCTCCTGTGTGCGCGCGCTGATAAGACAGGTGTGTCAGCAGGGCTGAAAGACACGTTTTGGGGTGTTGTTGCTTGGTTAAGTCACGATCTTGGTTAGAAAAAGCTCATTAAAAATAGCCCAAGCTGCAACAATGTAAAATATTGATTGAAAGACAGGAGAATAAATTATATTACTGGTAATATTTTATTGTTGATTTTTTTTTTCTCCAGCAACTGCTGGATTAAATGGACGCAAAGGAGATAAAGTAGGAGAAAGCCTTCCTTCTTGTTGCATAAGCCCTGCTCTCGTGGGCTGTTGGTTCCGCCAGCGTGGGGGGGTTTCCTCCACCCAGCCCTGGTCACAGCACGTACTGCTACCTGGGGAAGTGCTGCTTTGTTCCTCGGAGGGTTACTGTGGGTGGAAATGAGAAGTGATGGTGGCTTGTGCTCACTCAAAAGCCCTGCTGAGAACCAGAGTGGCTTTATTCCCGTGGCCCCATTGGGATTTTTTCAGTGTGTTCAAGTTTAACAGGAACAGGGTGTGTGGGGAAGCGAGCAGCAGTGCTGTTGTGGGCATGCTGGGGGCTTGTTCTTGCCTGGACTCTGATGAGCTCAGTGGGGTGATGTGGGGATATGGGCTCGAGCACCCTCAGCCAGCCCCAGTGTGACTCTGCCTTACACTGGAGTTGTCCTGGGAGGTGGTGGAGGTGGATGCGTGAAGCTTGGGAGCGATGCTGGGGCAGGGCAGGAGGAGGTGAGGCAGGGATCAGGGCAGGATCCTCCCTGGCACAGGTGTGGGGACAAGGATTGGGGTTGTTGGTGAGCTGGTGGCTGTGTCGGCCTGGAAAAAACAGCATAGGTCAGACCCGCCAGCAGCACTGCTGGGGCCGAGCACTGGTGAGGCTCTGGGTACCCAACTGTCAAATCTGCCTCAGAAAATGCTTGCTTTCTGGCCCTATTTTAGACCGAAATAGCCAAAATGAAATCAGGCCCTAGCTAGGGGAATCCCTCAACCCGTATCAGCCATTCTTTTGCCCGTAAACTGCGTGCCCGAGGGACAAGAGTGACCTATAAATATGTCCTTGCACTGTCCTCCGTCGGATCTGTGCCAGCACCAGGTACTGCAGCTGTGTTTCGGTGAGCAGGGTGCCCCCGTGAGCACCCCTCTCCCTGGGGCCGTTTCCCTCTGCAGCGGGTTCCAGGTCCAGCCTCGGAGGGTGGGTATGTGCGCTTCCTCCACCGCTGCGGCTGCTGCTGCTTCTCCTTTTGGTGGGGGGATGTGGGGTGCGCACAGAGGTGGGAACCCGGGTGTCTGGGACTGCCTGGGGTGTGGATAAAAAGCGGGTGTTTGTGCTCATATTGAGCCTACGTGGGGGACACAACACTCCTCCATCACAGGAGGTGTTAGCAGCTTTCCCAAGAGCAGGGCCATGGCAAGTGGAAAGCTAAGGCTCCCCTGGAGCTGGGGTGTGCAAGGCGTGTCAGGGCAACAAGGCCAGCTCCTGCTTTTAGCATGGTTGATGTCTTTACGAAGCTGCTGTTCATCATCTTTGCAAGGTCAGGGTGAGCAGGGGAGGTCCTCAGGGACAGGAGAAAGGCAAATATTGCACCCACCTTCAGTAACGGCCAAAAGGACATCCTGGGGAGCAACAACACAGTCACCCTTATGTTGGGTGCTTTGTTGGGCCACATTTCTAGAAGAAAAGGGTGGCTGGGAGCAGTCAGCATGGACTGACCAAGGGTAAGTTGTGCCGAACCAAACTGCTTGCCTCTCATGATGAAATGGGAGAATTCGTAGGTGGGAGAAGCAGTGGGTACCATTTACCTCAACTTCAGCAAGACTTTCAGGGCCGTGTCCCACAATGTTCTTGCATCCAAGTGAGGGTGTCATGGTCTGAGTGTGTGGGTGAGCAACCAGGTGGGTGAAAATCAGTCGATCAGGCAGAGAGGGCAGCAGGTAGTAGGATGTGTGTCACCAGGATGCTAGTGAGAAGGGCAGGGCTCTGCCCTGATGTCTGTCAGTGTTCCGGAGGAGGCCGTGGAGTGTCTTTGTGTTGGGTTCACAGATGAGCCCCCAGCAGGGCCGTCTGGCTGGGCTGGAGGAATGGGGCAGCAGGAACCTCATGGTGAAGAGGGGTGATGACCCCCCCACCTCGGCACTCATTGACCTGGCGTATAGGCCTCGTGTGGTGAGGACAGCCGTGCTGGGGAGTGGGGTGCTGGCTGTGGAGCAGAGGTCCCGTGGATCCCCTCCCACCCAAGTGCGGGAGCTTTATATGCTGTTATGTTGCAATTTTTGACTGGAAACAGAACAAGGCCCATGCCAGAGATCTACACACCCCTTCCGTTCCTGGGATTGCTGAGTCAGGCTTTATTTTTTAATTTACTGCGAGTCACTGACTTTCATTTCTTTTCTGAACTGAAGACTCCCCTGGACAAACACAAGCTCACTCATTTTCTCTAGTGATGACAAAGCACTGTGGTTTAATTGACACTCGTTTCAGATTTTTGACAGAACTGACTCCATCATGTCAGTGTGTGGGAGGAGAGCTCTTCCAAACTTCTTCAAACTTCCAGCTTCTACGCTGTGATATGATGTTTCATTTACAAAAGTGACATGTTTTAATTCATTTGTGGTTGCAAGAAAGGAGACAAGAACTAAACTAGTCTTGGAGGCAATTTACAGCTCCTTAGTTACCTCAGGCATCGGTTTGTTGAGGCCACACAACTTGGGATGAAGGCACTCACAACCGTCACAGCCATCAGGTTCAGAAAGCCAAAACCTAGGAAGCTTTTGGAGTTGCATAATTTTCTAAAGAATCCTAAATTTAGTCCTCCAGTTCTTAAGAGAGCAGGATTTGGCTAGTACAAACCAGCTGTGGAAGAGAGTGGGATTAAAAACTTCAGCGAGATGAAGTAACGTACTTGTTTGCAATAACAAACTTCTCGGTGCCCATGAAAACATTCCGTGCAGGACCTGTTGCTGTAGCTTTATGTGTCACGTCAGGTTCTCCCCTAGCATGATTTTGAGTGAGCTGGGAACTGCAGTCTGATGAGGCAGCAGGGGTAAAGGTTTTGTTTTACTCTAAAACCAGCCCCAGGCTTTGTGACCTTCTTACCGCAATACTTTTTTTCAGATAGTTCAAGTACCTTTTCCCAGAACTGAGCACTTACTGAGAAAGCATCATCTAGCAGTATAAAGAAGCAAAACACCTCATGTACTTTTGAAAATACAGTGATTTCAAACTGATTTTCAAGACTAATTTATCTTCTAGATATTCCATTTCTTAAGGATAAGGATTTATATTTGTGTAAGCTGAAACTGGAGATTTAAGCATCGCTTGGGAAACATGAGTAATATTCTCAAGGCAGTGTTGATTTATCCAGAAAGAGTAATATATATTTAACATTCCAGCAATAAATACCATACTTATCCAATAAAGCTTTAACACTGCTTTCAAGACATAAATATTTAAACTTCTTTTTCAGACATAGCTGAATAGAAATCACAGCAAGGCAAACTGGTGAGGTTTTCAGCCAGAGTTGACTGAAATGTAAACAAACAAAAGATAATTTTAAATTATTTTAGGCCCTTGTACATAGGAAAAAAACTAAAAACACTCAATAAGTTTGGCTGCCCAATTTCCATTTCATCAAGTCTGGCTTCTTAAAGTTCACTTAAATGTGGAACTGCCATCGCACCTTAGGCCTTGAGTTCTCCGTAGCCTATGTAACGTGCATCAAATGCATGAGCTGAAAAATGGGGTAGAATACTTACACTGGCATCATTCTCTCTGTTAGAACGGTGAGATTTGTCTCTGAATTGCTCATCTAATACATCTTTGTCTGGAGTCAGATTTCTTCGCCTGACTCCACATCCCAGCCACAAGACTCCAGCTGCTCGTCTTGTGGAAATTCAACCTCAATGTCATAGATGAAGTCTGGGTCATCCCTTTTCTTCCTGTTCTTTTCGAAGAGCTCGTCCATGATGCTCTTCCTTTTGGCTAGTTCCTTGTCATCTAGTTTGTTCATATCCTCTTCTGGGTCAATGGTCTCTTCCTCCTGAAACTTTTCCAAGCTCTCGGCCAGGCTCTCTCCTCTCAGATGACCTTTCAGCAAACTGTACAGCTTCTGCAGCTGACGCTGGGAGACTCCTTCTAGGTAAGCCTTGTGCCGAGGGTTATTCTTCAGCTGCTCAGCGGCCATGCTGCAGTCTAAAGAGAGAGCCACCATGAAGACTTAGAGCTGCAAGCAAATTTCTTCCCATAAACAGACTCTCTTCTCCCAAACTCTTACAAGTGAGACCTCCAGACTTAGCAGAGCCACTACTCAGGTTAAGATGTAGCCTCAGGCTCCTCAGGGGAGAAATGTTACCCTAAAACCACCCCTCCATGAACTCCAACCCCTCGGGCATGCTGGTAAGAAGCTACTCAGCAGTTACTAGAAGTGCTGCTACCAGGTAGCTGTTCCTCTCCCTGAGTCCAAAGGGGACTCGGGGAATGCTACAAGTAAAGCCACCGCACCCGAGAACTTGGAGAAATTTCTGACAGGCATGATGCGCTGGCGTGTCTTATCCTCGCTGTTGTCTTTGTAGATGAGGATAATGGATGGAGGCTGGAAGCAGACGCCGCACTTCTTTGCAACATAAGTCATTATGGCTCTTTCTGCTGGCTGAAGCGTGGTCACCTTTATTAGAGATGTCCTCAGCAACATCAAAGCTCACTGAAAAACAGGAAAAGAAAAAAGAAAGAAGGTGTGTCTCTTGGCACTGTTCTTTTTATCAAGGTTAGAGTGATGCAAGTTCAGTAATCTCTGGGTCTAAATCTCCCCAATTTCAGTGGAAGCTGAACACATTGCTACATGCTCTGTGAGCTGGGTGCCAGGGCCCACGGTGACTCCCAAGTGCTGGTTTATACCTTTGTAAACACCTTTTTGTTTACACCTTTCTTTATGCTCAGCCAGGACTACATATCACACACAAGTCAATTTGTTAGTCTATCAGCTAAGTAAAGTACTACACAGTCAAATGATACCTAAAAGATGTGGGGTTTTTAATGTTTGTTCCTTTTTTTAAAAGTGAAAAATGTAATAAAATAATAAATCAATGTATTACAGTTTCTTCACAAATAACATTTATGGCAATATCATACCCATTTCTCTGGAAAGCCAGGGATTGCTTACCTACAAAACCAGCAGGCTTTGTATTGTCCAATAGTTCATATGAAAGCTTCAGGTGTGACTTCATGAAGAATCCGATTTTTCAGTAAAGATGCAATTTTTGCTGTAAGGTTATTTGAGCATATTTGAAAAAAGTCTTCAGACAAATGCAGACAAAATTAAAATTTAAAAAGCCTTGGAACCCCACTGAAGGAGTTTCCACAAAATTAAACCTGAACGTTGCAAGACATGCAACAAAGACAGAATTCTACTATACATGCTTGTCTGTTATACATATTTGCTTTGAAAAGACACAATTTGATTGATAGGGTTCAAATATCCTTTATTTGTCTCTGTTTCTATCAGAAAGCTGGAGATATCATACTCCTTATTTCATATGGTAAGGGAGAACCTTGCATCCAACATGCTGACATATGTAACACTGGAATCCTCCTTTTTTTTAAAAAAAAAAAACATTTTAAGAGGAAAGGTACCTAGTCAGTTTTTGTAAAGCTTTCTTACAGTTTCAGAGTGACCTCAATATAGCACCATATCTGTAACAGATGACAGATGGGACAAGGAGAGAGAAGTAAACTCCTTACTAGGTGATAGTGAAAATAGTAACTCTTTTTAAAGAAAGGAGATGATGTTCAGCTGTTTACTTCTCAAACTAAAATACACCATCAATGAAAATGAAAAGCTGAGAATTTACAAGTGACAAATAGAAATGCTGTTTACACAGCACGTTACCACCGGTAGAGCTTACGCTATAAAATGTTCATGAAGGTTGAGGAATGTTTTAAGATTTGAAAATGCCAAGCTGTTGTGTGTGTGTGTGTGTGTGTAGGAACCAGGAATTTTTGCCTTACTTAAAAGGTGGAGAAAGAGGGTGAATGGGAACAAAGCGCTGACTGACCCACTCAATGTTTGGCTGTATTTATATGGATACCAGCAACATACTGTATGAACTAGAATCTCATTTTAAAGTAAGGACTACTAAACTCTTAAGTACCAGTGTGTCTGTCAGCTACTACATGAATTGAGGTTAGGAAGTTAATCTGTAATTACCCTTTTTACTCTTCTCTAAAGCATTTTGTCTTGCAACAGGAGAGAGGGAACGTCAGTCTGACTGGCAGCAACAACTTCTGGTTTTATGCCTGTACTCAAAATGCTCTTGAGAACTCCTCAGCATCAGCCCTGCCCTGGGCTCTGTCCCCTTTTTAGAGTCAGAGGAAATATTAGAGGAGACTTAAAGATCCAAATCTGCTGAAGATCCTCTTTTTCAGCTTAGTGTACAACACTGAATGCATGTGTTATTTTTTATTTTGGTTTTAAATAAGTGAAAATATGCCACCGTGAAGGTTATCTCCTCGAACTACCCTACAGACTGAGATAAGGCGAAGTAAGAAACAATACCCAAAAAAGTACTGTATGTCTCTAAATCAGGAAAAACTGCGTTAATCTTCAAAAGTTACTTTGAATTTGAATTGAAAAGTCCTCCTCCTTTGTTAAAAACTATATAGGAAATAGTTCAAATTTGCAGTAATGTTCTCAATAATGAAAATTAACTACAGTTGCTCTACCTTTTGCTTTTAAATAGTTCTGAGCTGGGCAGAAAAGCGTAAGCCACTTTCACTATCTTAAGCTGAGAAACGATGCTTCAAACTGAGCTGAAATGGCTTTTTGAAGAGTCATTGACAACCACAAGAGCCAGCCTCCATCTCTGGAATGGCAAATAAACCCTTAGGTGAGAAACAGAGACGTGAGAAATCATCCCGATCTGCCTGAAAGTTTCATATCAAGTAATGCAATCAGAGGCCTTCACTACCAGGCATGAAAGGCTGGTTTCGGTAGCTCTGAAACACAAACAGGCGGGGGGTTTTGCCCTGCCAAGTTCTGTGCTGCAGCAGAACTATTTTTGCCGTTAAAAAGCCGCTTTTCTCTCGCTTGATTCCGCCAGGTCGTGCGGGCTCGAGGCCTAAACGCTGAGAGTGGAAGGAAGCAGGGCACTATCGGGTTCGTCCTTCCCGTCTTTCGCCCCTTCCCCTTACCTCAGGCGCCGGCGGGACCGGACAGCAAAGCGGTTCCGCGGCGGCCCGGGCCCGAGCAGC